TCAGCTTTGCATCACAGGAATAAATTACATTTTACTATATATTCAAATAGAAAGCAGTTATTTTAAATAGTAAAAATATTTCACAATTTTACAGATTTTAACTGTAGTAATTTTAACATTACAGTAAAAAGCACATAATATTACAGTATTAACGCCTTCCATTCTTGCTGGTTTGCAATAGCATAATGATGACATATCATGTCTGTGCAGAGATATGCAAATATATACGTTAGCAGGCAGCATATCATAGCCCTTGGACTGAGATATTTTGTGTTCATATAATATAAAAATACATTTAGACCATGTAACTTAATGATTGCTATCAGGATGTGAAGAGACTTTTCAACCAGCATAACAAGAAATGTTTTTGAACCGAATCACCTACCCTGCCTTTAAAACAGGTTTCACCTCATATTTCTTTCATTTTGGTGACCAGTTTTTCTAGTGGGACATTACTGACATGTTACAGGTAAAACCTAGGCTAACATTTCTATATTATTATAAAACAAACCTACTATAATAGGTTGACAAATCCTGAATTGTCTTTCAGTTCAGTAAAAGGTTACTGAAGACTGAAGAGTGAATGATGCTGAAAATTCAGCTTTTCATCACGGGAATAAATTGCATTTTAAAATATATTCACATAGAAATCGGTTATTTGAAATTGTAATAATATTTCACAATTTTACTGTATTTTTAATTAAATAAATGCAGCCTTGGTGAACAGAAGAGACTTCATTCATTCAAAAACATTCCAAAATCTTGCCGACCTCACACTAATGCACGCTTTAGTTTACACTGATGAATGGATGGTGATGGTGTTATTAATGGCTCTGGTGTTTTGTGGTCTAGGGTCCAGGCTCCTATATAATGAACTACTTCATGTTCACGTTTTGGGCGCTGTCCTTCGCCTTCCTGGCCGTGTCTCTGGTGAAGGTGTTTGCGCCGTACGCCTGCGGCTCTGGAATACCTGAGGTAATCCTCAACATCACCTATATAGATCCGACATCCTCTTCAAACAGGTTTTACCTCATATTGGGTTTTTTGGGCAACCAGTTTTGCTTGTCGGACATTATTGACATATTAATCATTTGTATACTATTATTAAAAAAGGTTGCCAAATGCTATATTAAATGAATAGCTGTTTAAACTGTCTTTGAGTTTTAAGGTCTTTCCTTGAACTGGACAGACAAAAGCGTTACATGATCATGCTTTATTTGCACTTCATGCATAATTTTAGTTTGACATTTTATTCTACAAAAACGTATTTGAAACCTCAAAAGTAGACACTTGACTTACATTTAATGTGCTTTTATGGACATATAATCACTTTTTAAAATTTCTTTTGATGCAGACATCTTAACGTCTTTGACCCATTTAATGATAAACGTGTATTTCCTGTGAATTAGAGAAAAGTATTTGTATGATCATTTTTCTTAATTTCAGTAAAGGTTCAGCTCGACAGTAGTAGTCAACAAAATATTTGTAAAAAAAAAAAAAATGTAGGGGAAATTATTAGGGTTATTAAGTAAAGCTAAAACCATCAAGAAAAAAAATAAACTTGAAATAAAATAAACTGAATTTTTTTAAAGATAAAAAAAAAAACTACATAGGCATATTTAAAAAAAAAAAAAAGTAATAAAATAACAAAATTACTAAAACTTTAACTTCAATTTAAATGAAAACAGAATATATATATATATATATATATATTAGGGGTGTAACGGTACACAAATATGACGGTTCGGTATGATTTCGGTACAGCAGGGGGAAAAACTTTTTTTTTTTAAATGGTTTACTAAACAAAGTTGCTCTTTCTTTAAATACATTCAGTTATAGTTTAAATGTTCTTAGTGATAAAAATCTACCTCAGCTTATGCTTAAATATATATATATATATATAAATAAATAAATGACAATAGTATCTCATTGATACAAAAATAACCCTGGCTATTATTTGTCCCTCCATTATACTGTAGAAAGCATCAAAATGCTGTTTCTCAGATTACAATTTTAAGGATTTTTTTTTCTTCTTTTTTTGCGCATTTGTGGAAATTCATGCGTAATTTTAATTGTTGAAAATAAGTTAAGTTCTTTCATGTTTTCTTTTATTAACAGTTATCACAACAGCAGCAACAAAAACATTAGATTTGTGCCTCTAATGCAGTAAAAATCACGGGGCACCCACATTTTCAGTTGAAAGTGCCAGATGATATTTCAGATGATGGTAATCGCTCATTGATAATGTGCAACATGTGTGTTTTGTAATCACACCTGACGTCTTTGTCTCTCTCTCTTTCGTCCTGCAGATCAAAACTATCCTGAGCGGCTTCATCATCCGCGGGTATCTGGGCAAGTGGACGCTGATGATAAAGACCATCACTCTGGTTCTGGCCGTGGCGTCGGGCCTCAGTCTGGGGAAGGAAGGTCCGCTGGTCCACGTGGCCTGTTGCTGCGGAAACATCTTTTCCTACCTTTTCCCCAAATACAGCAAAAACGAGGCCAAGAAAAGAGAGGTTAGACACCATTAGTGGACGTAGGTTCATTCTCTTAAACAGAAATCTTCTACAATTTCAATATATCCGTCCGTGACTCTATGTGTCTCTGCGGGCAGGTTTTGTCGGCGGCGTCGGCTGCTGGTGTGTCTGTGGCTTTCGGGGCTCCTATCGGAGGAGTTCTGTTCAGTCTGGAGGAGGTCAGTATTAAAAATACTGTCAAATTGTGAAATATTATTAGAATTTAATAATATAACTGTTAATAATAATAATGACTGTTTTCTATGTGAATATACTAGGACTGCACGATTAATCAAATGTGATTGTCAGTAAAGCCGGTTCTGTGATTAGTAGTAAATCTCTAATAAATTAGTAGTTCATTTATTACACAGAGCCGTAGTTCTCTGACAAGCTACGCAATAATGAATAATAATAGTTAATAGATCTGCGATTATGAAAGCTGTTTGCGTAGCTTGTCAGTGAACTACGGCTCTGTGTAGTAAACGCTGCTCCATCTGAAAGCACGTGAAAATACCACATTTAAAGTCCCCATGAAATCAAAATTAAAGTTTTTTTGGGTGTTAGTATCAATATGTTAGTCTTAAGGTTATCTTTAAGGCAGTGTGCTCCAACGTCAACACATAGAGTAACGCTGCGTGTTTCTTAGCATTTCAGGGGACCTTTAATAACATTTTTACTCCAAACTCACTTCATAATGTCAGTCGAGTGTTTGAAAATAAATCCTTCTGTGAGATGATGTGGCTTCTTACACAGAATAAGGCACGCAACATATTTCAGTGTTCTAAGCAGTGATAAAGGCATTGCATTATTATATACTTTATCATAATGAAAATTATAATAAGAACACAGATGAATCATATATTGTCGTAGTCCTGTGTTTATTAGTCACGTTGAATCAATGAAAGCGGTTCAATCTTCTGTTTATCCAGCAACCGCTATCCACCTTTTCCCTTAGTAGCCGATTAATTTTTTTTATTTACATTTTATGTGCATTAAAAATTGTTGTCTATTTAATGAATTGAATTAATGCATTAATACGTGTGTCTCTCTCTCTCTCTCAGGTGAGCTATTATTTCCCTCTGAAGACTTTGTGGCGCTCGTTCTTCGCGGCTCTGGTGGCGGCGTTCGTGCTGCGCTCCATCAACCCGTTCGGAAACAGTCGTCTGGTGCTGTTTTACGTGGAGTACCACACGCCCTGGTACCTGTTCGAGCTCTTCCCCTTCATCCTGCTGGGGGTGTTTGGAGGCCTGTGGGGAGCCTTCTTCATCCGGGCCAACATCGCCTGGTGCCGCCGCCGCAAGTCCACACGCTTCGGTACGCACATGGCGCGGGCATTAGTGTTAGGGCTGCACGATTATGACAGAAATCATAATTGTCGATTATTTCCTTGAAATTGTAATTGCGATTATTAATTATGATTATCACAATTTACATTGAATGATGTTTATACCATTGTTTGATGCAACTGCATGCCGTATTTTTATATGAAAATAAACAAGCTGAAAACACTCTAACTGAAAAACCTTTAGTGCTTTTCTATAGTATTAAGCCTCAAATGTCAAATATACATCGGATTGGTTTCTTCTTTAAATTATAAAAAAAGTAAAAATATGAATGGTATTATAATGTTATACTAAAACTAAAACAATGGAAAAACCCTTAAGATAACATGTAGAAAGGAAAAAACATATGTTAAGCGTGCAGAATAACATAAGTGGACTTTGAACGATTAATTGCCGCTTTGAGCGATTACGTAATTGTGGCTTTCATAATTGTAATCGCGATTAGAAATTTGATTAATTGTGCAGCCCTAATTAGTGTCAGTGTTTTAGTTACATTCATACACTTAGGCCTGGTTTCACAGACAGGGCTTAGGCTAAGCCAGGATTAGGCCATAGTTCAATTAGGACATTTAAGTCATTTTTTATAAACAAGCATTACTGATGTGCATCTTGAGACAAAACAAAGGCACTGATATATTTTAAGATCAGTCAGTGCAAGTTTCTTTCAGTTGAAACAGTTTAGATTTACATTTTAGTCTGGGACTAGGCTTAAGCCTTGTCTGTGAAACCCGGGGTTAGTGTTCCAGTCGGTACTGCATTTAATAATAATAATCACAGTCATATCTGTTGAGCGCGTGAACACTATGGCCAATAAGCAGTGTTTATGAATCTGCTCAGATGTTAGCGGGAAATGGACGTTTTTAAAATTGCAGTACCAACGTTGGTACTTTTGACAACACTAGAATACACTATTAAGGGTTTTGTTAAGATTTAGTGGCCAGTTTATTTAAATTTTATGACCAAAAAAAAATAAATTTGTAAAAACACAAATAAAAGGTCTTTTTATTTAATCGCCATAAAATGTAAATAAAATCCGTTATCTGTTGTCTCTCTATTTTGTTTATTATAGATTTATGTATTTTATTTATTTCCATTTAATGGCCACGCAATTTTTTAAAAGAGTATCTTTTATGTATGTTATGTGTTTTCATGGATTACATATTTATTTTTTTATTTAAATTATCAAAACATTTTTTAAGTTTCTCTTTTATTTAACAATTTTATTTGTTTTTAACAGATTACAGATTTTTTTTTAAAAAGTGTCTTTTATTTGTGTTTTTATCAAATGTTTTAACAAATAATTTTTGTTAATATCTTGAATTAAATACAATTTTTATATTTTGTTTTCACGTAAATCTTTTTTTTTGTAATTTTGTTGTGTTTATTTATTTTAGTTTATATTTGGATTTAAACTACACAAAAATGAGAAATGTTCTCTTGGTAACTACCTTTTTTTTTTTTTTTTTTCCAACTTTTTTTTTTTTTTTTTCCAATTCAAGTTTTTAAGTAATGCATTTTTTATATGGTTTCGGTTTTAGTTAATCATAATCTTGGTTAGTGTTTCTATTTATTTATTTTTTATCAAGCTTTAGTTTTAATTTTCAACTACGAAAATGAAAAAAAAATGAATTTTAAGATTTTTTTATATATATTTTGTTTAGTTGACATTTTATTTTAAGCAATGTTTTTTTTATATAGTGATCATTTTATATGAGCATGATTTTTAGGTAAGTATCCGGTGTTGGAGGTGATCACGGTCGCTGCCATCACGGCTATTGTGGCGTTCCCGAACCCGTACACGCGGCAGAACACCAGCGAGCTGATCAAAGAGCTGTTCACGGACTGCGGGCCGCTGGAGTCGTCTCAGCTCTGCCAGTACCGCAGCCAGATGAACGGCAGTCAGGCGTATCCCGCGGGATCGGACGCCGCCGCCGCCCCCGGCGTCTACTCGGCCATGTGGCAGCTCAGCCTGGCGCTCGTCTTCAAAATCATAATGACCATCTTCACCTTCGGACTCAAGGTCAGAAAACAGTGCTTGTGTTTGCACTTCTCTATTGTGATATCACTATTTTTCCAAACAGTGCCAGTGAAATTTTTAAATTCTTGATATGTGTCGGGTCCCTGCTATAATAGCAGCAACATTCACAAATGTTTACAGAACAAGCACACTTTTGACCTTATTTAGCATGTGCATGAACCTACACACAATCGTGGACATACTTTAGAGTTACTCATCAGTAGGGGTCTAAACATTTCATCCATTGTTATTAAGGACGTAGCACTATCTGATCACTTCTGTATTTTCTTTGATATATTGATCTCTGCTACCACTAAATCTAGATCTGTCTCTGTCAGAAAGAGAGTTGGATGTGCCAGAACTTTCTTCAGTTAAACAAGGAAAAAGCTGAAGTCATCAAGCCTAAAGAAAAATAGAAGATGAAGTTCTCAAGGTGAATGCATACCTTGGTCAAACAACTAAAAATCAAGTCAGGAATGTTGGTGTGATTCTGGAGACAGACCTTAGTTTCAGCAGTCATGTCAAAGCAGTAACAAAATCAGCATACTATCACCTCAAAAACATTGCAAGAATTAAATGTTTTGTTTCCAGTCAAGACTTGGCGAAACTTGTTCATGCCTTTATTACCAGCAGGGTGGACTATTGTAATGGATACAGTCTCTAATTTAGATTAAAAACTGCTCATGCTGCATGTTTGCTGCATCTTTGTTTGGATGATGATTAAAAAGCAGTGGTTGCCTCTCATTTTAAATGGAGAGAGCACAGACAAAGCCTTAGTTTGTTTATACGGAGAGATTTATTTTATTTGTGTGACTTCTTTGATTTGGGGTTTGTTTTAAAATTTCAATTTAGTTTAGTTATATTTCAATTTCACAAAGAAACGTGCAGCAACAGCTTAATAAAAGGACACCTCATTTACTGAATGTCTTCAATCTCATTTTGTTAAAAAAATAAAATAAAATTTGTGAGAAGAATCGTTACATCCCTACTATTTTCAATACCACAGCATTTCAAACCAAAACTAATCAAACACTTATTTATTTGAAGTACACACAACACAAAACAAATGTATATTTAGGGCGTTTCATGCCCATGTACATGGTTCTGCATGATCTTCTTGTTGAACATTTGTTGTTTTGACAGAAACTTTGCAGAAAAAACGTGGACGTCTTCTATGTTGCATTAATACACACTAGGGATGGGAAGATTCCTCGATTCGCTCGGTGCATCGGCAGAAAAAGTTAACGATGCGATGCATCGGTTTAAAAAGTGTGCATCGGCTACAAGTTGCATTTGTATCACGATGCATCGTTTCTAACATATTTGCATCGGTAAAACCCAATTCATTTATATATAATTACTAGTGGATGCGCTATACTTTTATTATTTAGAAAGTGACCAATAATCTGTGACCAATATTTTATATGTAGATTGATTTCTCCTCTCTAAACTGTTTCTCAAGCGCGTTCTCTCATCACAGCTGCGCGTGAGTATGATGCATCACAACAACACTACAGAGACCCGAGGAAAAGCGGGGATTAAAGTCCAAAATCTGACTTGAAATAACCTAACAAATCAATCGTATCATTGCTAAAGCGGTTCCATTAACGACAAATTAAATTCACACAATCTCACAAATTTTTGCACGCTTATTCTTAAGCAGACCTTAATGTCGATCATGGATCAAATCGATCCACCATGACAAACGGCGAATATATCTGTGCTGTTTAATGCATTTGAGACGTTGTGTTTTCCTCAGTGTATAACTGACATGTCACAGGTATATTTTTCCATCTGTAAATGTCAGAAAGTCATGCAAACATATCCATTTTGCTGTCAGGAGTGGGCGAGGCACGCGAGTGAACGAGCGCTGCTGCACGCATGCACACTAAACAGACGGAGCGCAATAATTCTGAGTCAAATATGCATTTTGCTAAAATATTCGTTGTTGGACATTAAATGTGCCTTTTGTAGAATTTTAAACCTACATATTGCATCGAATCGCATTGTGTTGAATCGAATCGAATTGAAATCGGACCGCACTGCATCGTAACGGGTGAATCGTATCGCATTGGTAGCTGCTTCATATGTATCTTTTATGTATCGTATCGTTGGCTATGCATCGAGATGCGTATCGTATCGGCCTCAGTCATGGAGATGCACATCCCTAATACACTTTCACATTCATTAATTTTTGTAAATTTGCATTAAATAGCGACTTTTTGGAAATGTATAGCTATAAAAAAGAAAGTATCTCGCTTTTTGTGTGTTTAACACATTACAGATGTATTTTGCTTAAATTTTATGGCTGTGAATTTTAAAAAGTCTCTTATTTTATTTATAGATTACTGATTTATTTTGTGTTCAAATTTTATGGTCGTAAAATGTTAAAAAAGTGTATTTATGTTGTTGTTGTTTTTTTACAGATTACAGATTTATGTATATTATTTATTTGTTTTATTTTAAATTATGGCCGTAAAATAAAAAAAAGTATTTATTTTATTTGTATTTTTTACAGATTTATTTATTTAGCCATATATGGCCATACAATTTAAAAAGCGTATTTAAAAAAAATAAATAAATAAAGGTTTCAGATTTCTTTTATTTATTTGAATTTTATGGTCATAATGAATGGTCAAACAAATGCCAGCTTTATATGATGTGTTTTTAACAGATTATTTTATTTTATTTTCACTGCCATAATTAGTTTAATTTTTTATTTAAGTGTCTATTTTATGTTTTATTTGTGGTTTTAACAGATATTATCATAAAGTCACACCAATTATAGTTAAACATTGTATGTATCCACTTAAAAAAACAACAACTTTACAAAAAAAAAAAAATAATTCAGAAGGCTTTTTCCCAGTTTGTCCTAAAGTTGCAAAGCTAATTTGAGTGGTTGTTACTAATACTACCCAAAGTGCCAGTGTTATGTTTCCAGTGATGTGTTGAAGATTGGTCTTGTGTGTTTGCTGTGGTCAGGTGCCGTCGGGTCTGTTCATCCCCAGTATGGCCATCGGGGCGATCGCGGGGCGTATCGTGGGAATCGCTGTGGAGCAGCTGGCGTATTATCATCACGACTGGTTCCTGTTCAGAGAGTGGTGTGAGGTGGGCGCCGACTGCATCACACCGGGACTCTATGCCATGGTGGGCGCCGCCGCCTGTCTGGGTGCGTACGCATGCATGCTTTCAGCTTTCTCTGCGGACTAGGGATGGGCGATATGGGCTTAAAAATATATCACGATAATTTCCGGTATTTGTTGAGAGAACAATATCAATGACGATAATTCAGGGAATCTTATGCATCCACTAAGAGACAAAAAAAAATCCTGTTTCTTTAGAGAAAATTATTATCTTTCCTCTTTTTACCCTAGTCAAGTCACCTCTATGTATATATAGCGCTTCTAACAATACAGATTGTGTCAAAGCAGCTTTACAGTATTAAATAGGAAAATAACGTGTCAATAATGCAAAAGGACAATTGTAAACACTCAATTTTCAGTTAAAGGCAGTTCATCATTGAATTCAGTTATTTCTTCATCCAGCTCAGTTCAGTTTAAATATTATCTGTGCAATCAAGTCGACAATATCGCTGGATATTAAGTGTCCCCAACTAAGCAAGCCAGAGGAACCAAAACTCCATCGGTGACAGAATGAGCATTACTGGGTGCACATGTAATGTAAAGACTGTTTAATTCATACTGGAAGCCAGAGGGCGCCCTTGCGCAGAAACGCCACATATGCCTTGCAGAAGTAATTGCACTGACAAGTGAAGCTCCAGGAAATCCCTAATATGGAAGAAGGTATCCAGTTATCACTGAATAAAACGCAGATAGAGAAATTTTAACTGAGGAAACATGAAGACAATAAACATACGATTGTGACGATATATGTGTTCTTCAAGCAAATCTTGGGTATTTTCATAAGGATAAAGTATATCTATAATGCAATGCTAATCGACATAGCCTTTATCACTGTATATTATACTATAAAATAGTATGATTTGTGACTCATTCTGTGATATGAAACCACATCTGATCACAAAGTTATTTCAAACACTCGACTAATGTTATGAAGTTAATTTGGAGAAAAAGCATGTCAATAAATGACATCTTTGTTGGACAACAGGTTTGTAAACAGACTCAATCACATGCTACTGTAGTACATTTATTCAAGGCTCAGACAGATTGATTGTTGTTTCACTATACAGCCCTGAACAAACCGGTTCCAGAAGGAGCTCCTCGTTTAGTGATGATATACTCCTCAATTTCACGTCTGACGCTCCGCACGGTCGCACACAGAAATATGTGACCCTGCAGCACAAAAGCAGTCTTAAGTCGCTGGGGTATATTTGTAGCAATAGCCAACAATACATTGTATGGGTCAAAATTATCGATTTTTCTTTTATGCCAAAAATCATTAGGATATTAAGTAAAGATCATGTTCCATGAAGATATTTTTGTAAATTTCCTACCATAAATATATCCAAACTTAATTTTTAAGTAACATGCATTGCTAAGAACTTAATTTGGACAACTTTAAAGGCTAATTTCTCAATATTTCGATTTTTTTTTTTTGCACTCTTAGATTCCAGATTTTCTCCGAGATTTTCTTTATTCCAGAGAATCTCAATTTTAAAAAAAGATGGACCCTTATGACTGGTTTTGTGGTCCAGGGTCACATACTGTATGTCAACAGCTAGGCTTTATCGTTATTATCGCGGGAAGACTTAGTCATTCTCATCGTGGGGAGAATTTTTACCAGTATATCGCAAACGATAAGATATCAGCCATCCCTACTGCAGACTCTCTAATATCGTGTGCTGTGGTGTTTGTGTAGGCGGCGTGACGCGCATGACGGTGTCTCTGGTGGTCATTGTGTTCGAGCTGACCGGCGGGCTGGAGTACATCGTTCCTCTCATGGCGGCGGTGATGACCAGCAAATGGGTTGGCGACGCTTTCGGGAGGGAGGGGATCTACGAAGCCCACATCCGTCTGAACGGATACCCCTTCCTGGACGCCAAGGAAGAGTTCACGCACACCACGCTGGCGCGGGAAGTGATGCGTCCGCGGCGTAATGACCCGCCGCTGGCCGTGCTGACGCAGGACGACATGACGCTCGCCGAGCTGCAGAACATCATATCCCAAACCAGCTGCAACGGCTTCCCCGTCATCGTCTCCAAAGAGTCGCAGAGACTGGTGGGCTTCGCGCTGCGCAGGGATATAACCATCGCTATAGGTGAGAGAACTTCGTTTCTGTCGGCTTGATTCTCACGGTTCTTTTCTGACTACATGCAAAATTATGTTGACGTAAATGAAGGCTGTTTTAAGAACACTTTTTCAGTATTTTCTGCCAAATTGCTGTAACACAAAAATATCATGATCATTGTGAAAAGAAGTATTATAAAAATTGGCATGAATTACATTTTCTAAATGCATGTTAAGTCTCTTCTGCTCACCGAGGCTGCATTTATTTGATTAAAAATCTAGATAAAATACAGTAATATTTTGAAATATTATTAGAATTTAAAATTACTGTTTTCTTTGTGAATATATTGTAAAATGTAATTTATTGCTGTGATCAAATCTGTATTTTCAGCATCATTACTCCAGTCTTCAGTGTCACATGATCCTCCAGAAATCATTCTGTTATGCTGGTTTGCTGCTTAAGAAACATTTATTAATATCAATGTTGAAAACAGTTGTGCTGCTTCATATTTTTGTGCAAACCGTGAAACATTTTTATTCAGGGTTCTTTGATGAACAGAAAGTTAATTTGAAATAGGAGTCTTTTTTAACATTTATAAATGCATTTACTGTCACTTTTGATCAATTCATCATCTTTGCTGAATAAAATTATTTTATTTCAAAATTTAATTTAATTTTAAAAAGTACCGTTGTCCACATCAGCCATAATAGACCACCAATACCACAAAATGTGTTAAAAAACACAAAATTATTATGACCATTTTTTTATTTAATGGCTTTAAATGGTAAAGAAAAAAAATCTCTTAATTTTATTTATTTGTATTTTTTACATTTTACAGATTTATTTCATTTATTTATTTATTTTACATTTTAGGGCCAATCAAAAATAAAATAAAATAACTATTAAAGATGACTATTAAAGACCCAAAACCTTTGAATAGGAATCTTTATGGTGTAATTTAAAATGTTAAAAGAATCTCTCTTTGTACCATCATAATATGCATTTTAAATAAGAATTGCTTTGAAAATAATTGAAAATAATCTTTATTTTTGCAAAATATGTTTTTTTCTCTTCTGTATATGATGTAAAATGTCACCCGGAGATGTTTTCATGAAATCCTAATAAATTATATTTTATCATCTTGCTGTAGAAACACACATCAGAGTTTCTCTGTCCACAAATAGACTGCTAAAACGACTGAAAGATATTCTTTTGTTTCTCGTCTCTTCAGAAAACGCCCGGCGTAAGCAGGAGGGAATAATGCTGAACTCGTGGGTGTATTTTACCCAGCATGCCCCGACCCTCCCGGCCGACAGCCCGCGGCCGCTGAAGCTGCGCAGCATCCTGGACATGAGCCCCTTCACCGTCACCGACCACACGCCCATGGAGATCGTGGTGGACATCTTCCGCAAGCTCGGCCTGCGCCAGTGCCTCGTGACGCACAACGGGTGAGTGTCCGCCGAGTGTGTTTGAACTAACGAGCGTCCCATCGGCAGACACACACACTCACACATCTGCTGATGAGCTTCAGTCGAGGCGTCACGCGTCTGAGGATTCACATGCCTCTCAGCTGCTAGTCTCCTGCTAAACCACTGACGAAACACACACAGACACACACTCTCTCACACAGACACACACTCACACACACACACACACACACACTCACACTCACTCTCACACACACACACACACACACACACACTCACT